AATAAGTATTTTGTTTACCTTTGTACCATGTGAGCACCAAGTCATCATTCGTGCTAGTAATTTTTTGTTTGGCCTCCAGGTGACAACAATTTCCCTTTCGTGGCCCGAAACTTGACATACAATTCGTTTTACATTTTCGAGATCGTCAAGCAAGTTTAGGCGTACTCCATCATAAGACATATTAGACAATTCCGTACAGCTATCCCAACTGAGAAAGGAATTCTATCTATGATTTTTATTTGTATTTCCTGCATTTTGATAGAGCATATCAGAACACGTCTTTCCGCGATCTTATCCTAAAAAGTAATAATTCATTGCATTCTTTCAACACCAAAGTAGGAACCGGGTCAATTAGGCATGACTTCATCTTAGAATTACTAAGTAGCTTCCGAAGATCACTATCTGTCACTTGTCTGAAAGTATCAAATACCGACGTAGAACTTTTCTCAATGACAATGGGTGCAACAAAAAGATTCTTTGCTAACACGATTTCATCATGAATCACAGGGCCGCAGATTCAAATCCTGGCAGAGGGCGTATAAGACATGTTTACACTACACTCGATTATGGCACCTAAACCATTTTATTCCGTGCTCGCGGACCACCTGGGTAACAAAGGGCGAGCACAGATAAATGTGTTGTGGGTTTATCTGTACCGTACCAAAAGTTGAGTGCGGTGTAAACGGGTATACAGTATAGTCACATTTTTCCCATCTGCTCCTGGTTAGGTTTAATATTAAATGTATGAAATATAAACACTCGAATATACCATCTGCAAACCTCCTGACACATTATAAATGTCTTAATCCCCGAGCGCGGAGCGCCGTTCCGGGCGTAAACCCGGGGCGAGGATACTAATTCCTCCCGGCTATTTACACCTGGGGGAAAGGAACGCAATAGCAAAGTCTAAAGCTCATCAAATATCGTGGGCACGCTTCATGTGTGTATGGGTGGTCATCTCACTGATCTCAAAATATGGCCGTAATATAAACGTACTAGCCTTCAGAGCACAATTTGAAGGCAAAATGGAATTGTCCCACGATAACGTAAGTTTTTCCTTCCATCTGCCCGGCTAAAGTTCATGATAAAAAGGAAGGCAAATTATTCTCATTAGAGTCATGTGCGAATTAAATTATTTCATTTCAAAGGGCGAGTAATATTACAGTTGAGTTCAAGTTATCGGCAAAAAGCACTTAATTTCAATTTACATTTAAAAGCGTTTTACGTAGAATTTCGTTTTCAATTTTACATTAAAATTAAGCACACTGAAACCAAAATAATATACCTTCTTTATGTATTTTAGAAATTGATAGTTCTGTACTTAAAATAAAGTGTTCAAGTTTCATCTATTATTTGCAGGTTTGTACAAAACATTTAAAAACATTATCGTGTTGCCATGACTAACACGACGTGGCAACGCGAGCCTGCGGTCAATGTTGGCGTAATTACGAATACTTCATGTTGAAAAAAATGTTTGGAGAATATACGCGAGGGGTTGTTGCATGCATGTATTTTTAGTTATTTTGGTTTGTGATGAAGTTAATGATTACCAATACCCCCTGAATGAGAAAAATCGAATCTTAATTGCGTCGATCATCGCTCGTATGATCGTATCAAATCATAATCAACTTCCGCATAAAACTTTAATGCACATGCAGTCGCAAAGAAAGAGAAGCGGACGTTTTTTGGATTGTACATTGTGAGATTTTATTTTTTCCATGATTACACTTGGTAACATAATTCTAATTATACCAAACATGCAGATATAGAGTGAAGTTGTTCTTTCAACTTCAATAAAATGCTTGCTTCAAAATGTATTGTAAATATCTAAGGAGTACTTTACTAAGGAGCATTGTCTGCAAATTTTCGTTAGATCACGGTTAATAGAACCCCCATGGTTTCACGCTTTCCATTGGTCGATAAAAATATTTTCTTCAAGTGACTGCCTCGTCCCCAGGCGCTAATAAAAGAATTTCATGTGAGTCACTATATGAAAGGTTTACATGAAGTAGTGCATCGCGACGAACAAGCGCAGGGAGTCATGGGCTTCAGGCATCGAAAGTTGAAGGGCGCCTGGGAGATCTTGTTCCGTTTCTTGCAAAATTCGTCTGTCTCTTGCAAATCGTGGTTTTTCAAAAGTTTTTGGGCTTTTTTCGCCATTTTTTTTTTAGGGAACAGCATTTCAAATTGTTCAATTAAACATGTGATTACAGTTAGATGATATTTGATATCATTCAACGCTTTAAATGATTCCGAGATGTCAGCACTTGAAGAATTCAACGGGACTGTAGAAGCCGATTTATATAATAAATTTACAAGGTATAGAAAAATGACAATGAATTTTATCACAATAAGCAATTTATTTAATAAAAAAATATGCAGCTACCAGACGTTTTTTAAACAAGGGAGCGATGAAACTTTATTTTGTATTGCATTTGCAAGATTTGTCTCAGGATTTCAGTTACGAGCTTATTTACATGCAGTATGTTTGATTTTCACGATGCAAACAATCGCCAATATTTTGAATAATTCAGGTAAGGATAGTTTTATTTCTTTCTGGTGATATACATAAAGGGATTTATATTTAGATCTGTTGTTTACTTGTATGTTCGACAGCTATTATTCAAGATCGATCAGGCGCTAACCAGAACGCTCATATCCCACTCCCTTTGCGCGTTTATAATGTGACGCACTACTTCATGTAAACCTTCAATATAGTGACTCGCATAACATTTTTTATTAGCGCCTGGGGACGAGGGAGTTCAAGTGATATGTTGTTGGTTGAGTAAAAAGTTGGCAATTCTAAATTTTGGGGAGTGAGATGCAGGTGGGATTTAGCCAGCCACGTCAATGGATATCTTCCAGAGAATATTTTCGTGTTCTGAACTAACACGGATTGGGTGGTGTATCATGAGTTGCCCATTAATGTTGTAGAACGTTTTGGTGAGTTGCACGCTACTTTGTTTTGGTATTAAAAGTCAAAAAGGAATATCTCCGGTTTTTAACAGTTTTTATATGTAGAAGAAAAGTTAGATGGCGAGGACGTAGTGAGAAAACTGTGGCAAAACACATTTTAAAGCCTTGGAAAGGTTGCACACACAAGAGCTGCACGTATAATCTACAGGTTGAATTGGGATCTACCAAGTCAAGAAGTGATACATAAAACTGGCTGAAAAACACTGAGCAGTACGTATAAGCAAAGAGTATTAAAAGCACTGTCCACAAATGTTGTTACGGTGATACACCAGACCAAATCTGTCAGACTATAATTTCAAAACAAGATAACAATTTAAGAGGATCAGAAAAGTTGGCTATTCCAACCAACTTCCTGCATAAGTCAGTAACATTTAGAGGAGCAGTATTGTGGAACAAACTACCGACCAATCTTAAGAACGAGGTACGACATAATAATTTTAAAATGTTGATACGGCAACAAGATCTTGAGCCAATGGATTTTAGCTCTTACACAAACAATGATCTTAACTATATTTATTTTTAAACTTTTCTAGTTATATTCTTACTATAAGATATTTAATTTATTTATATATATATATATATATATATATATATATATATATATATATATATATATATATATATATATATATATATATATATATATATATATATATATATATATATATATATATATATATATATATATATATATATATATATATAAATTATATATATTATCATAGCATATGTAAATTGATATTACTATACTGGTAAACATATCAGCTTAATTTGCTGCTAATTTTTAAATCGTGTTTAAATAAATCTTTTTGATTAATTTTAATTTAATTTAATTGCTTTTCCATCACTACTGTACAGAAACATACACAAACATACACACATATACATACATAACACAATGACATAAACTGAGTTGATGGTTGGGTATCCGCAACAGCCTGAAACCAATTACTGCGGGCCCAAAACGTTAAGAGACAAATATCAATAACACAAATAACAATTAAACCATAGAGACTAAAAACAACAGTTCATCGAGTTTGTTAAAGTCTTTGCTCTATTGCATTTCGGGCAAATCGTTTTAAAAGTTCGTACATCATCACAATCGTATGTGTTCGTTAATGCAGTATGGTAGTACTCTCGCATTACAGACTTGAATGCGTTGAAGTTCTCCATACTCAAGTCAAGTATGACCGTCAATGTGTTCCATGTTCTGATGGTTCTTATCCAGTATGATCTTTGGTAGGTTGTTGTTTTGCACCGCGGGACTTCGTACTTTACACCTTTCGTGTTAGTGGACGATCTTGTATATCTTGTTGTCTTGGCGTGCAAGGCAAAGGACGAGCTGGTAATGCCATGAGTTACTTTGAAGAAATGAATCATATCAAGATATTCATGCCAGTAACATATGGGCAGTAGATGGAGAGTTTTCAATCTGGATTTGTAATTTACTGAACTAATAAATGGAAGATTAAGAATGTATTTTGTTGCACGTCTTTGAGGTTTTTCTAGTTTGAGCAGAAGTTCGATAGATTGAGGTGTCCAGACTTGCGTCGCATAACCAAGATGTGATCGTATCAGTGACAAGTAAATGGTTCTTCTTGTTTTAATGCTGTTAATTGTTCGTGTGTTCCGTCTGATGTAGCTAAGCATTTTATTTGCTTGTGCACACTGTTCGTTGACATGCTTGTTCAATGTCAAATCGGAAGATATCCAGACACCAAGATCACGTTCATGCTTAATTGATGCTAGTGGAGCGTCATTCATAAAATAGGTGCTAGGGATTGGATTGGTTTTACGGGTAATGGATTGTGCCTTGCATTTTGCTTCGTTGAATTGTAAGCCAGATTCAGATGACCAGATCCCCAAGTTAGTGATATCTTCCTGTAACTTTATTGCATCATTGGGCGATTGTATTGCCTTGAAGACTTTGGTATCGTCCGCAAACATTGCAACACGACTTGACTTCACATTGCTTGGCAGATCATTGACGTAGAGGAGGAACAATGCTGGACCAAGTATTGAACCTTGCGGTACACCAGACGTGACAGGAAGTAGGTCTGACGTTGCTCCTAACACTGTAACGCGTTGTTTACGATTTTCTAGATAGCAACGAAACCATCTGAGGAGATTACCTCCAAAACCATAGTCTTTCTGCAGCTTTCGTATTAATACATCGTGATCGACCTTGTCGAATGCCTTTGACATATCCATATAAATCATGTCTATATGTCCTCCACTGTCTAAACACGATCCAACGTAGTCAAGAGTGTCGATGAGGTTTGATATGCAAGATCTGCCGGCCATGAACCCATGTTGACACATGTTAACTGCATCATACAAACGAGTTTTTATGTTGTTTAGGACACAGCGTTCCGGATTGATTGATTGATTGATTGATTGATTGATTGATTGACAAGTACGAATAAGATCATTTAATTAATTAAACTTCATATTTTGTCGTAAATATAAATACGGTATTTGTAAAAATTAATCACGCGAATTGAACATGTAATATTAGCTTAGTCCCTAAGCCTCTTACTACGCCTATTTCGCGTTTCCGCATATAAATGAGATGACGGCTCCTGAGAGGAGTAGTCCGCTACTGGGTTTTGTTACTATTAATAAAGTCTTACTCTGGTCTATATGTTGAAAACAAAATATACTATTAATAAACTAGTAATATCAGAATGGCTACCAGTCAATGAGCTTTTCAAACTACCTAATTAAATATTTCACATCACCATGTTACACCAGACCAATGCGGTCTAACAAGCCTTGATGATAGGCTACATGGATTAACAATAGAAGGCGTACATGTTGCGTGATTAATGCATAAATACAAAGAAATTTTAAATAAAACTTCACTAACACGAGAATCAACAAATGCTTACAATGCAGACATTGAATATTAACATATTTTAGCTTCTTGACGCGAGAATAAGTGCATGAGTCAATCATCCCCCCTCCCCCCGGGAGAATCCCCGGCATTTGACCAGAGGTTAATCCTGCATTGGCGGGAATTTGACGCGAAAACGTTGCCGCACCGTCGGGCATTTGACCCTTTCATTTGACTGATCACTGGCGAAAAATTGGCCAGCGGACGTGCTTGGTGTAGATGAACGTTGATGAACGTGATTTTATTTCGCGTGTATAAAAACATACTGCACGGCGTGAATAGCTTTTATATAAAATGCCGTTATATAAAATTTGGAACTCGACCAGGGACGTCAAAAAGGATGTAATTGCTTGTTCTTTTGCAGAATCTCTCAAAAGTTATGTGTCTTTATGATATTTTATAGATAAAAAGAAATTGAACTTACAATAGCGAGCATAAAAAAGAAACGGCATTTCAAAACTATATAAATTGCAGAACTATAAGTTTTGAGCCGATTATAAAATTAAATAAACATTTAAAGTATAGCTGGTTCTCTTCATGTAAAATTATATGGGAAACGTACGAGGCAGAAATGGGCATTTGACTATGTTTTTGCCCGCACCGTTGGGAATTTAACAATGGGTTTCGCCCGCACCGTCGGAAATTTGACCGTATTTTTTTTGAAAAGTCAAATTCCCGAGGGTTCACCCGGGGGGGGGGGATAATCGCAGTTGGAATTGACTCGTACATTAAGCTAATACAGTAATACAGCATAGCGAATATATTAAAATATCATATGTCAGACAATCATTAACAACACCGATGGCTTGGTACTCCGGTTTATAAACCTTTAATATGAACTAAAGATACATCACTATAAAACTATACATTTATCTACCTTATTGCAGTGCAAGCTTTGTCTTTCTCTAGCAGTGGCTCTCTGCGCCAAAATTTCTAGCGAGGCTTCTGCTTGTGTTGTTGATGGCGCCGGTCAGTAGCTTGTCAACAAAATTCGTCCGTGAAGCATCATATTCTTTTCAAGCTTTGTATACAAAAGTTATATAATGTATAGAGATTCCAAATCGTTTGCCGAAGTCGCAAACAGAACATTGTTGAAAATGTTTCCAGACATGGCTGGTAGAAATCGCTCGTAATAGTAAACGTTCGAAATAGTTTAACACTCAGAGGTAAACACTAATGCCGCGTTGACGAATACCTCACGCTGCGAATCCGTCGAAAATATAAGCCAATGACAATGCACAATTTTTTAAATGGTTCAATCAGAAGGCTCATACAGAGCCCCTGAATCTGCAAATCCGTCTGGCCTCCCCACAGATCCGTCGCAAATGGCCGTAACCATGGAAATGAGCGTGTCAGCCAATCAGATAGCCGGATTTAACCCCCGAATCCGTCAATTTCCATGCGTAAGACCGCTGTTCGTGACTGACTAACATTACTTTGCCGAAGCTCTGCCGAAGCATGAAACGTATAACTGGACTACCGGTACGATTCAAAATTTTAGTAACTCGATATACTGGCCACTATAGATAGCTCGATTCAATTTTTTTTTAGTAGGCAATTTTTACTTCAGTCGTGCGACTGTTTTGACGACCCCTAGATCCGCCCCTGGACTCTTTGTGTGCTAAAAAGCTACACCATTAGAAAAGCTGTAGGAGCTCTTTCGGTTCTAAACAAGCTTTTTAGGGTTCATTATGACCACAAATAGGAGCCAATTTAACTCTTCGAAATGCTAAGATAGCCCACTAATTTTCTGAATTAGCCCCCTGCTTTTGCCAAAACAGCTCCTACTAAAAGCTGAAACAGTCCTTACATTGGAAGGGCCAATTGAAATCACCCCTTAATATATTAGGGGTCGCATTGTTATAGGTGCAATTTTGACCCCCCAAAAGATCTATTTTGCGGTCACCATTTTGTCCCCATTTCTTTGGGTCGTTTCAGCCCTTTTTAATTTACAGTGCATAGCGCGCATATTACAATAAATATCATGATACAATAATTTATAGTATTGCCTCATTCTTTAAAAACCTTATTCAACGTATGTATAGCCAATATACTCATGTACTGCATGCAAATAATGCATACGTATAGATTATAGTGTATACACCATATATTTAACATATAATACTTTAACGTACATTGCAATAAGCATCTGGAATGAACACAATAAACTCATTGCCTTGGCACATCGCCACACAAACAAATAAGCTGAAAGTATTCATTTTCATTCCTTGTATAAATATTAAAATAAAAACATGGTCAGTCGGTTTATTAAAACTGCTGAGAATTAATCAAATCATATTGTTTCAATACCCCTATATCGACCACTAAACAGAAGATCTAAATATAAATGCCTTCAAGTATATCGCCACTAAAGAATAAAGTTTTCCTTATCTGAATTATTTAAAATACTGTCAATTGTTTGCATCGTGAAAATCCAACATACTACATGTAAACCAGTCACTTTTAATAGTCACTTTGTGGAAAAAGAAGCTGCTTACTGCTTGGAGAACGCAATTAAATTACATCGCTCATGCGGTGTTTTCGAGTTCCGACACAGTTATTTGCTCCTACTCGGATTATTTTCGTAAAATTCCTGTGTATGCCATTTTATAACTGCTACGTCATTTTACGTCACAAATTTATCAACATCACGACAAAAAATCTCAATACTTAAGCAATGCTTTGTTGGCCAGCAAAAGCAAACGTTTTTTCGCTAACGTCGGCGCCTTTGCTCTCTTGGGTACTTTACACTTTACTGTAACGCGTATGACGTGTGGCGTATGTTCTGGCGGTTTTTCTGTTCTTTTATTGGCGTGGTTTGATGGCGTATGTATTCAGTGATCAATTCTTTCGCCTTTATTTTATCAAAAAGCTTTTAAAATTTACAAAATCTTGCAAAAATGAAATATATTTGCAAGAAGTCATCAAATCAAGAAATGTTTGTTATTTCGCTGTTGTCATGCAGTCTTGTCATACAAATTTCAAAGTGGACCAATCAGTGTTGGCAATTCGTGACAGTCCGCTTATTATGAGATCAGTGAGGATGACCACCCACCGGAACACCGACAGTGACCCACGCCCGCAATCATTGATAAACTTTAGACTTCGCTAATGCTTTCCTTTCCCAAATGGCACGAAAGCCATTGCATTACAAACTGCAGTGGCGATCATACAAACATCATCATCGTTCTCTTTGGAACACTGGCTAACAGTCTCGTCATAATGCCGTACGATCGTAACCCTCCTCTACGAACAATTCAGAACACGATCTTCTTTGTACTTGACATCGCAAATATTAGCGTAACTGCTTTTATTGAACCGACCTATGTGGCTGCTCGGGAAATAACAAGGAGTTAATAATGTGTCGTGAGTCAAATCCAGGAGTGAAAATCCATGAGTAACAACATCAAGAACCCAAACTTATTTGTTTCGAACAACCAATACGCGATTGTTACAATGAGTTAAATACTACATTATGTATACACTGCAAACAAATAAAGATTAACCTAAAATTAAAATCCTTTAAAGTTATTAAAGCTCTTTTTTATTTCGAGAATTAAATTTTTGCGGCATATAAAATTATTTTATTTGGAAAATTATATTACTAATATTTGTAGTTAGCAATTGAACCAAATATCTAAATAGTAGAAAATTTATTCCCGCAGATCAACGCGCTTCTGCGCGTACGGAAAATCCCGTGGCGAGGGTACTATTTTCTCTCGGTTATTTACACCCGGGGAAAGGAAAGCTTTAGCGAAGTCTAAAGCTGATCAATAATCGCGTGCGCATGGTTATGCATGGTTGTCATCTCATTGATCTCAAAAATATAGCTGTTTAGTGTTTGCTATGAATGATAAAAGGAAGCTTGAATATTTTTTCACACAATAAGTTGTATATCACCTTTTTCAAATTTAAAGAAAGTGTGAGAAATCCTGAAGTACAAGGTAGATTGATTTTTAATGTTTATGTATGGCTTTGCTGCTTAGTTTTTGGATTTTCTGCTGAAGACCTTGAACGTGTACAGCTTTTCTTTTTATTTTATGTGAAAGTTTCTTTGAGTTAACTTGTTTTAATTTTTTATAAAAGAAAAAAAGACAATTATTTTCAAGAGCGATCTGTAGGATTTAAATTTATTTAATTTAAATATGAGTAACAAGTTGCAGAATTTTTAATATCGGAAAAAAACAGTTAATTTCAATGGACATTTAAAAACGTTTCACGAAGCGCTACCCTGGTTCCAGAGGTTTATTTTTATTATTTTCATTGCGAAGGGGAGAGGAAAATAAACCTCTGGTTGAAAGCGGCAATTGATTCATCAAGCCGCGCCAATCAGTTTGAATTAGGGTCAGATCTTGACTCTGTCTCCTGATTGGATGATTGTATTAAAGCTCTCTGATTGATTCAAATA